ATATTGAGAATCAAAATTAGTCCTACATCCTCCTCTTTACATAATGATATATTGCCTGTTTGCATAACTATTTACATAAGTGACATGTTGAACTGCTCAGGGGGGCCTTTGATTAACAAAGTAAAACTACATTGTCGTAACCCTGTCTAAATGTCAAATCTGACTCCATGAAAATATTTTAGCATATTTTAGCATTCTTAACTTCGACCGAAGCTTTCGAGACACGAGAAAACGCGCTCCCGGGGAGTCGCGGCATCTCGCTACACACCTGTCCGGCATGCAAGAGCGCTCCTTCGTGCCACTTGTTGCATGGCCACGCTCGACGCAATCGTATTTAAATAAAACGGCTCGGCGAAAACTGGAGCGCGCGCGGGGCGCCGTTTTGAGAGCGGTCCTACGTACCAGGACGGCCGGACGGGTCCTCGTCCCTCGGGGCCCCCGATTCCGAGATGGTCGGCTGTTGCCCGGACGCGGCACCGGTCACCGTGTCTGCCACTACCGCGGAGTCGCGCGTTTCGGCCATTTTCAGGTTAACTCCCGCACGCCGTTGTCAATTCCGCACGGTACGGGACACGAGGCACGGCACGGCGCGGCGCAACGCGACGCGGCGGCCACTTTACCTCGTCGGCTCGCCGTGCATTCGAACTCGGGCCTCTTTTTCGAAACTTCCACGCACGGCCAGGCGCCAGGCCCGCGATACTGGTGACGCGCCGACGTCACACGAGATGGCGGCAGCGTCCGGCTACTCCGGCAGCCGGCTCCGCGTCCGTTCGACATCTTGCGGATATATTCGAACGGCGCGAGCGATGCCCTGTCGGCCCCGCGTTCCCGCGTACCGATTACGATCGAATATGACGAGCCGCGACGACGAATTCGAATCCGAGACGGCCTCGACGCGCCGATGTACCGACATATCGCGCGATCACAGATTAGTTGCGCACGAAATTATTCTGGCACGGGTAGCGTAATGTAAGCTGTCGAATTTCCGAGCGCCCGCGTCGGCAAAACGAAGCGGACGCGCTTCCGCCATTTTTACGCCGTTGCCGTTTGGCGTTTGGCGTTCCCGACGCGATGCGATAGACGCCGGTTACGAGTATCGAAATGCGTATCAAGTCGCGTTCCCGCGAGCTGCTTTATACATCAAAATGATCGCCGTCACTCAATTCGGCACTTCCGATACTTATTTGCACGCAAAATTCACCTTGACCGGTAGAAAGATACGACGAAGGCAGAGCGTCGAGAGACACGTACGCGACCCGACAAGTTTCGTTTCGACCGCGCGAACTGCCATGAAGTTGGCGCGGATGCCGCGGATTGATGACGCGATGCCGTTCCTTCTAGAAGCATTTGAAAATTTCGAGCATGCATTATCGCACGATAATGAATCAAATATACGTATGAATTGTTATTTACAGTCGAGCTATGAAAAGAAAATCGTTAGAAGTCTGCGAACAGACCGAACAACAGCAGATTTTTAGTAATTTGAGGATATTAGATGCCACTTTACTTGGGAGTCTTTACGATACTCCAAACTGCGCGCGATACATCAGGTCATTTTACGTCATGTTACGTCACATCATGCTATATTTCGTGATCACATCATATCGCGAAAATAGTACAACACATTTTATGTCGTCTCGTAAAACGACAGTTTTGCCAAGTAAACTCCATGCGATCGTAATGTTACTCGTACGATTACTCTTCGACAAATTAATCGATGTCGATGAGTTAATGGAATGCTATTTATGCAATGACGTGCGACAATATACATCGCAAAAAATATGTTCAAAAAGCACGTTAAAACGTAAAAAATGTGCAATAATACGAGAAACAAGCGGTAACGCGTAATGCAACAACGCGAGAAATATGTGATAGCCGCTATTGTCGTTTATATTCGTTTCGTCGATTAGGGTCCGGACACACTTTTTCGTAACAGTAACAATAAAGTTTCGACCAATCGCGTTGCTTGAATCGGGAACGTACGGCCGTACGGCGATGTATCATGTCGATGGTACGAACGTATGACAATTTCGTCAAATGAGAGTGAACAAAAACATAATAAAACCTGTCGAAATGTAATAAGGCAGAAATTAAACAAGCTCGCAACGCTATTTGATTAAAAAACCAAATAGAATCAAAGTATCAAAGGTTTCGATACAGTAATGCTGGGTCTACAATGCGAGTCGCAAAGTCGTGAGTCGCAAGAATTGACCAATCACAATCGAATTTGAGGAGAATAATCGACTGTGATTGGTCAATTCTTACGACTCACGATTTTACGACTCGCATTGTAGACCTAGCATAAATCAATTGTTTCTCGTATTATTGCATATTTCCTACTATACGTTATAGCACACTTTTCGGATATATCGTGCTGGCACAGAGCTTGCAAACGTGACATGCGACATTTTGGCAGCAAAGACCAAACAGTCTTCAACGCAGATTGTCTTTTCGGTTTTCGTCATCAATATGCCATCATGTTATGTTTGTATAAGTAACGTACAAAAGCTTAATATGATGTATTATTGATGATAATCTGGGGCCCGATTCTCTAACGACAAACGTATGCGTAAACTCTGCTCTAACAGAAAAGCTGCAAGCTTATTGGCTAAAAACTGTGCGATAGCCAATCAATTTGCAGCCTTTCTGTTAGAGCAGAGTTTGCGCATACGTTTCTCGTTAGAGAATCGGGCCCCTGCTGCGATTCCTGCTCGAGCAGATTGCCAATCTGCAATTGCTACGAGACAGTACTTCTATATCTATCTTATCAAGATTATTTCAACATCTCAGACACGTACGCATATCCTACTCAAATATCAGTTACATGCAAAATCATCTTTCATAATTCACATTTGAGAAGTGATTTCGTATTACTTTCCACTATTTCGACTCGCCAAAATGTGGATCTCGCGCATGATTTATCGTCAGGAATTCTGAATTTAATGTCGTATCAACGTAAATAGTTTAGAAAGGGAATATCTCACGAAGATGCTCATCAGAGCGACCATGTAAAATATCGTGCAAATTAATTATATTACGGCAATTCAGAGTCATTTCATTGTGTTCTATATCATTTACTCGCCAAAGTATCATACGCGAATTATCAAGATTATCGAATGCAGTTTCTTGCATCAAATATTGCGTTAATTGCCCACGATAATTAACCATATCGTACTCTATCATTTTCTGCATTTCAAGTCGCGATCAGTTATATCATTCAGATCGCAAAAGAAGCTTTCTCCCGAAGCGTACTGGAAATACCCTAGAAATACCCTAATTCTTTCAAGAATTTTCTCTTAACATGAAAATCCGGCTGCAACAGTCAATTTCGTCATCGACTGTCCTAATATTTCGGATTTCGATCATATTCGTCTAAATATCATCGCACGGGAAGCCATTTTGTGTACATTTTGCATTTTATTGGAAAGTAGGCTCGCTACGTAGATTGCTAGATAGACTCGTCACATAATCGGGCGATATTTTGAAAGTCGCCACCTGATTGGCTCGCCGCATCGTCATCCGAGAATCGCAAGCATTTCAAATCCGTGCAGTCAACGGAACGCGCCGCGAGCCGCGAGTCGCGAGTGGTTCAGTGGTCGCGAGACGCGGCACTTCGGGTTCGGAAAGTCGTACCGTATTTTTGGCAATTTCGGCTCGCCGAGGGCGAGGATCGTGCGCGAGCTATCGTCGGGAGTGCCGAGGGTAACGTCGCGCATTCGCGAGCTCGTTCGTAGCGCCGGAGTAACCGCCGAAAGCAACGCGTATCGCGAAGTCGGGAGCTCAGGAGCAACCCCGTCGAGGTAAGGAGTAACGCGATGTCGCGAATCCGCCGAGTTACGACAGTTCGGAGTCGAATTCGTCGCGTTTTACGCTCTTAACGCGCCGAAAATAAGCATCGCGAGCTAATTGTCATCGGGAACGTCGTACAAAGCGTCATTCATTCGTTATCAGCTAGAGGATCGCAATCGCGACCATTAGCCGCCATTAACTCCTTACAGCAGCTCCCGTCTCCCGTCTGCAATTGCATTTTCAATCTCGCAATCAGTTACGGAGCAGGAACAGCTTCCTAATTAGGCCACCTTCGTACTTGTGGCGCTTTCAAACCGCCGCGAATAGATTTCGCGCGCGCGACCGGGCCGGGAGTGCCGGGACTGCCGGGAGTGAAGTGCGGGTGTCGTGCGTCGTGCGTATTAAATATCGCGATTATATCCCGATCCGTACCGCCGTACGTCCCGTCGTAACCGCGATCGGGCAACCGTAACTCCGATTCGCTCCGTATTTCCCTGAGAGTGGACTTCGCGCGCGAGTCATTGTAAAGTGCGGAGAGTAAAATGTGCGCATGCCGCGTACAGGATGAAACGTAAGGTAAGGTGAATATGCGTAATGTGGTGTATGATATGATGTATAATACAGTGCATTTGTTATAGATTGTCAAGTGTTGTGCAACGACCGCGGATATTTCGCTAGATCCTTCCCCTCGAGCTCGACGTCTCGACAAGGGAGCAAGTGATGGAAGTAAGCGATTGTAGCGACGTTGGACGCATCGATCGGAGCAGTAAGCAGTAGGACATCGATGCAGCCGATGCAGGATCGTCGCCGTAATGGTAAGTGCTGTTTATTATATTATCGACGAAGCCGTTGTTAGCGGCTGCAGATGGCGACATTATAACCTCTTCGCGTCGATTCGTCTCGCAAATTCGGGATGCAACAGATGGCGTCACCATAACTTCTTCGCGTCGGGTATTGATTTTTTCCCAATTTCTATAAAAACTTCAGTCGGATATCGAGCGACCGATTTAAATAATTAAAACCCAGGAAATGATTAAAGATAATCTGTCTGGATCAGCTACAAGTTCAAATAGATCCACGAAATATGGGAAATACGATTGCTATATTAACGTGAAATAATACATGTCGAGAGTACTTGATATAAATTACTTTTAAAATATTAATTATTTAAGTATACATCATTAATGATAGAACAATTCGGAGATTGCAAGTTGCAATAAATAAGAATCTTTATCAATCGTGACAAATTATATAAAAGAGGAAAATAAAGACGTATATAAAGATATATAGCTTTTGTTTCAAAATGTTAAAAATTATGATTTGTGCCTTATGAGAGATTTCCTTCGGAAAATCAAGCGTTCTTCACGGATCCTTTCACTATTTTAACGTCGTCCACTGGTCGATCATTCTTATCCGTCTCAACTAGTCCAATTCTTTTCACTATTGTCATGCCAGTATAAACTCTACCTGTTAAATAAAGAGGAAGGATGAAAATATATATCATATGTATTTACATATGTAATTACGTATGTGATAAACAGTTACAACAGTTACATTATAAATAGGTGCAGCTAGTTTGCTGCAACTTACCAAATATAGTATGTTTTCCATCAAGCCACTGAGTAGGTGCAAGCGTTATGAAGAACTGCGATCCGTTTGTATCTGGCCCAGAATTTGCCATTGATAATATTCCAGCACCTGTATAAATTTCAATATCACGCAATTGAAGTGCTTGCATTGAAGCAACGTTTATTATTAATCGTTTATCACAAAATTACCTGTGTGTTTTAAATCGTCATGTATCTCGTCGTCGAAACATTCACCATATATAGACATCCCACCTTTCCCTGTCCCAGTAGGATCTCCACCTAAGAATGAAACCATTAGGAATGAGATATTTTGTAAAACTCTTGCGTTACAAGCTTCTACTGCGTTACCTTGAATCATAAAGTCGCGGATGATCCTGTGAAACTTGGTGCCATTGTAATACCCACGTCGCGTGAGCTCGGCGAAATTTCTGCACGTGATAGGAGCATGTTTCCAGTACAACTCGAAGGTTATTTCACCCATCCTGAGAATTAGAATCGATTAGCGTTGCATAGGGAGTGAGTTTTAAGTTAGGAAACACGCGATGCACTTACGAGGTCTCAAACACAACGAAGGGGGGCTGCCAATGTTTATCCGGCACGCCGGATATATTGGCGAGGCACATTGTGGTCTGTATTTTTAGTCCTTTTGTTATGATCGGTTAAACAGCGAACTATCAGACGCTTATCACGTTTATTCTTCCGTATATTTCGTAACAACTCTTTATACGAAACCGGCAATCGCTCAAATCTCAAATGTGCTGCGACACACGACACACGACCGACACGTTAGGTTAGAAAATCTACTAACACACATATACGTGACTGGAGTACACACGTGTACGTGAGACCGTGAACTGGAGAGGTGAGAGGTGAGAGGTGAGAGCACGTGAACGCCATCTGCTTCATGTGCAAAATACACGATAACAAAGCAACAATAATATGAATTTAATGAAAATGTAAAAACGTGTTGAATGTATACTTGGGCGAATCATATAAATGAGGACCTTCGCATGTTGGGCTGATTCATCGCAGTGTCGTACTTTAAGTGTTCTGGCGACACGACTAGTTTCCACACGTGCCGGAACAAGTTAACCTGTCTGAAAATATGTTCTCGCCAAGAGACTCGGGTAATTCAGATTACATTAGTTTAAATATACATGATAGCGGGTCGTTTGCACGGGGCACTTCGCGCAGTTTATGGAGGGTACGTATATTTTTGACGAAAAATATCGCAAACGTATTCTTTTTTCGAATCTACACGACTGACTTATCTCTCGGCTACTCGTCTCTCTTTCAGCAATGGAACCAGTTGTCCAGGTTCCAAAGAAATATCCTATACTTCGCAATATTCACAGTTTTACTTGTAATATTTTATCTCCTGCCTAGCGAAACCAAAGCTGGTACCTCTGACAATGAGGTAGACTATAGTAATATAGAAGTTGTACGAGAAACTGCCAAGTATGAGAAGGTACGCAACAGCGCTCATCTCAAAGAGCTCGTCTCTTGAATCTGTGTATACGACAATATCAAATCCCCTTTTATTTCGCAGGCAGTAGATGAAGTTGTTGTAGATAATGAAGAACAGGGCGCTGGACCTGGTGAAGTAATTGAAGAGCCCGAGTTTCAACCAGAAATTAATCAAGTTGACGATGATCAAATTGGTGAACCGCCACAGCCAAAGCCAAACATCCTGAAATTTAGTGGTAGATTATAACTCGTGAAATGATAGATAATTAGATTAGATTGCAACAATAAGCATAAAATTAACACTTGGGACTTTTAGGTCCGCAAAATAATAGACAAGAAGCTGTTGTAGCCGCATTTAAGCATTCCTGGAATGGATATAAGAAATATGCATGGGGTCACGATAATGTTAAACCGATATCAAAGAGATATCACGAATGGTTTGGCTTAGGCCTTACTATAGTTGATTCATTGGATACTATATATATAATGGGATTATATGATGGTGTGTATACGAGTTAAACTTTAAAATATCTGATATTCATTAGCAAAAAAAAAAAACAAGAAAGGATCTTCTTACTTAATGTTTCAGAATATGCAAGAGCAAGGAAATGGGTGGAAGAGAATTTAGTGTTTACAATGAATAGAGATGTTAATTTATTTGAAGTTACAATTAGGGTATTAGGTGGTTTACTAGCAGCATATCATCTCTCGGGTGATATACTCTTTTTAAATAAGGCTGTAAGTATTAGGTCAGACAATTTCAGTTTTGGTCAGTCCCGAAAAGTTCAAACGTAAATATTAATTTACCAATTTATCCACGACATCCAAGATGGATTTAGGTGATCGCATGATGCCAGCATTTTCTACCAGATCTGGTGTTCCATATTCCGACGTGAATCTCGGCACTAGAAGTGCGCACAGTCCCAAATGGGGTCCCGACAGTAGTACGAGTGAAATTACTTCCATTCAATTAGAGTTTCGTGATCTTAGTCGTAGTACAGGGCAACTTAAATTTGAGGTAATTTTAGAATCGGAACTTTTCAGGCAATTTCTAGCGGATATCTAATATGTGATCTTTTCAGACTGCAGCGGCAAGAGTTTCCGACCATGTACATAAGTTAGAAAAGCATGATGGTTTAGTCCCGATTTTTATTAATGCTAATACCGGGCAGTTTCGGGAGTACGCTACGATTACGTTAGGTGCTCGCGGTGATAGTTACTACGAATACTTATTGAAACAGTGGTTACAAACTGGAAAAACCATAGACTAGTTAGTATATTTATGAAGTTATAATCTGAAACTATAATCGTATGGAATAAGTCTTTAAAGAGGTCTGTATCATTTTTAGCCTACGCGACGATTACTTGTTAGGCATTGCCGGAACGCAAAAGCATCTCGTTAAACATACTGCGGTCAATAAATATCTATTCATCGCCGAATTGGTTGGCGCGAATAAAGAAATTAAACCGAAAATGGTAAATAGCTTAAATACGAAAGTAGTTTAAAACCAGTATATTGCCCAAGTTTGGAAATGTGCAAATTTGTATTGTAGGATCATCTCACATGCTACTTAGGAGGTACTTTAGCGTTAGGTGTGCATCATGGATTGCCGCCGGAGCATAATGCTCTTGCGGAAGAACTTGTTAGGACTTGTTATCAAACGTATGCAATCCAGCCAACGTTCCTCGCACCTGAAATCACTTATTTTAATATACAAGTAAGTTCAAAAAATTAATCTCAACTCGGATAGAACGAAAGATCGATTCTATGATCGACGGTGACAGCGTCAAAAATTCATAATTACCGTTTTATGGTTCTGTAGAAAATGGAGGGTGAAAATCAAATGGATATGTATGTAAAAACGAACGATGCTCATAACTTATTGAGGCCCGAGTTGATTGAGAGTCTATTTTACATGTGGTATTTTACGGGGAATAAAACGTATCAAGATTGGGGTTGGCAGATATTTCAGGTGAGTGTTATTCTTCTCCCGGAATTTCATTGTGCAACGTGACTAACGTAACGCGTCTCGGCAGGCTTTCGAGAATTATACCAAAGTCGAAGCTGGCTACACGAGTATCGGTAACGTCCGGAGCATTCAACACACTCGCCAGCAAGATATGACGGAAAGTTTCTGGTTCGCCGAAACTTTGAAATATTTGTATTTGTTATTTGATGATACTAGACAATTGATAGATTTGGATAGGTGGGTATTCAATTCGGAGGGTCACCCGTTACCTATATACGAATCGTAACGCAGTAGAAGCAAAATCGTGTATACAGCGAGTTCTGAATTTTTCGCACTTATTTCATAAAATTATTTTTTAAATGCCCAATTATCCTAATTATCGTAATCTTTCTCTAATGAAACTTCCCGAGCTCTCGCATTTTCTCCATTAATTGTGGGATTCTTTCCTAAAAGAAGTCATTAATTTATGAAGTCAAACAATAGTCAATTTCTACTGTTCTGAAATCATGGAAACCGAATATTCTCTCTAAAATTTCTCTTTAGTGTTTATTCTAGTGATATATGGAAATGTTTCATTCGTTTCCACTTTATAAATTGCCATGCAATCAAACATGTGACAATTATGAGTAATAAAGGAGAGTGGAAGAAGTTAGTTTAGTTTAGAAGAAAACAATTGAATAGAGGGGAAGAAATGGAAATTGATTCTAAAGATTATAAGTAACTACAGATTAACTTGCTTTATCATTGGCGAAAAACGATTTCAAATAATAAACAAGTATGCAACACTAGCTGCGCCTACCAAAGTATCCAACCTGCCTAAAATGTCGAATCAATAATAGATGCTGTTAGGATTTTAGATTTTCAATTACCACATTTGAGAATATGTAACTGTTGACTTTTTTCTTATAATAAGACTCTTAGCACCTATTGTACTTACCTGTTTTTCGAAATTTTAATTTTGCAACTTTAGTTGTGTGTAACGTCATTTTTAGAAGATACGTATCCACAATACATTTAAAAAATGAATATTATTTAATATTACCTTCACATTAAATTCATGTGTAATTCATTTGTAATATTACAAAACTAATCTAGTCCTCATCTATGAATAAATTTGAATAAATTACACACCATGCTTGCAGTCTCCGATTATTATCAAAATATAAATATTTATATGAAATATTATGGGTGTCTTTGCGATTCCTATGCCATTGAAACGGCGCGGCAATGATTAAATTGCAATTTTAACAGAATTATGGTATTATAGAATAAATATAAAAAAATATTGCGCCCAAAAATATTTAAATCATCTACAAACTGTGTTTTTAATTATTTTATCCGCGTGTAATAATATTTTGAGAAATTGTAACATATACATTACGGAATAATAGAAATAGATTAAATACGCAAGATTGTAAAACAGAATTCGATTTAATCATCAACTGCGCTATCGAAATACTGCTACCTACTACTTCTAGTTGCCCTGACACATTAAAGGAAAACAAAAGACTTCTCGGATTATTTTTCGTTTATACATATAATAATATATCTTCGTTTATATAATAAACATTTTTATATCAATGTCGGAAGTTTGATATTATTTATGTTACTTTTGTTTCCAAAAGGAGAATACATCTATGCCTTTTATAAGACTGCAGGTCTGTTTTTTATCTCGTAAATTTACAAAATTACGAATATAAATGTCTAAATGATTGTCGCGGTTAATACTGTCAAAGGCGTGTTATTGACAAACGTTAACGTCAGTTTGTTAGGAAGACATGTAATGGTATAAAAAAAATTGCTCTACAACATATTACCAGGGAATGCTTATGGACTAATAATAATTGACTTTTGCAATGTCTCTCAACGCGATTTTTACCACGTAATGGCAGTGAATATTTGCATAGATCGCAAGTACTTTTTCTACTGAGAAGTAATCTTTAAAAATATAAATTAATTAGTTACCCATGTGCTTCTTATCAAGCGCCTTTAATCATACAGTCAATGCTCGATTAAATATGCGACAGTATAAAAAATTATGTGTATATATAATTACGAGCATCACATTCATTCGTACACATTTACTAAATTTTCTACGCGCGCCACAGAATTGTTCTATTATACTTCTCGTGTATCACAAAATATCCTAACGGCGCGCAATACTTATTGTAATGTCAGATCCTAAATTTTGCGTCGAAGAGAGGCGCCTCGAGACCTAAAATTGATCAGAGTGGTGTAGTCGCGAGACGCTACTTCTCCGGCTTATTATCTAACTAAGGACGTTGAACGATCTCAAACTATCGTGCAATCGCAGCACTGTTGTGAATAGTAAATACAATTGATCAAACAGTCGTCGTTTGGCTCGTTAGGTGATTGCTTCGTCTTCTTCTCGATACCGTTCTTCTCGATTTTCAATTCCAATTCCGGTTTAGGTAATGTCGTCTTCACGATCGGCACCGCTTCCTCTATCGCATCGGCATCGGTGTTCAAGGTCGGTGAAACCACAGGTTTCGTTGGTTGTGACGTTACAGGAGTCATATTAATCTTCGCCAATCTTGCATCGTCCAGCACGTCGAAACCTGTTGTGGCTATCGATGTCTGTGCCAGAGATGACGGGTCCTCGCTAGAGGACATTATCACGCTGAAACAAACACGGGATACATTTTCAATGTAGTCTAATTCACGTTGCTAAGAGCTGGAAAGAAATATTCTTGAAGTTGAAAAAATTAATTCAAAACTAATTAACTTTCTTAAGTTCTGGAAAAACGAGTTAAACCACTGTCGAAGACGCAAATATTTTTTTTTCGATTAGGAACATTTAGTACGCTGGATTTTTAGAAAACAATGTTTTATTTGAATAAGCCTATGTAGATTCGCTTAGGCTATTAATGATAGATAAAAAGAACATCTCTTCTGGGTATTACGGAACTCGGGAAGAGAGTACAACTTCCGAGATCCTCGGGAAGAGAACCTACCACCTAGTCTTCTTGCATGGGTGCGTTCGAGTCCTTTCCTCCGCGGTTAAGGTTGAATAAAATGACACTTGCTTCATATTTCGTAAGTCCAACTTTTGTTACGCGAAATGTAATTTTATCGCAGCACTTTGTCTTTATCTTTGAAACACTATACTTCTGTCACACTCCTATGCAGTCAGCGTGATGTAACTTTTATCTAGTTCGTCTAATCTAATCGCCTTTCGCATTCTCACTGGTTCTAAACATATAAAGCAACTGCAGAAGCTCTTCTCCCTGTAGAACATCTCGGGCTGTCAAATATATGCATACGATTCCACGTCTAATAATAAACGCTCGTTGATACGCTACGTTTTTTGTGTAAACATCGTATAAATCTTCCGTCATAAAAGACTTGTTACGATTACGTATGTAATCTGTGTCACATCTGGTACATCGCTCGCGTCGATTACATCCCAATTGATCAAGTCCCAAGCACGTGGAGTGCATTAGCGGGCTGAATACCGTTGGAATTCTGTCAGCTAATAGAAGCTAATGAACGTCAACTAGATTTATGTTGCATATCGTATCGTCGATCAAAATCTAATTAATAACTGAACGTAACTGATTACTCTTGAAGAACATTTACCTTGAATCTATCCTTCCTCTTTTTCCCGAAAAAGAGAATATTGTAAAATAAAATCCAAAGCTATACACTTTAAAAATATTTTATCCTCTGTGAAATGAAATGAATAGTAAAGATTTCGTTAAAAGCAATGCACGTTTGCGTAATTATTTTTATGATTAATTTCGTATAAAAGACGTAAAATATGTTTAGCTTACAACTCGTTCGAATTGCGCTTTTTATAAAAATACAATTAGCTACTTTTAAAAATAAATTACGCAAGAATATTTATAATTTCCTTTAAAATGCAGAATGTACATGTGGCTAAACAGAAAATGGTCTTTTGACTTAGGGAAAGCGACAGAAAATTCCATGTGGCGCCGTAAAACGATAAGTTTTAGCGATACTATATTAGGGGATCCTGTCTGTACCCGCCCGACCAATTGTATTCGTCTAGGTCAAACTTGGAGAGAAAACTGCAGCTGTGCAACGAAACAGCTGAAATATTTCGTGCCAATACAAATGAAAGTCAATGCGCAACCTTCGTTTCTTCATGCGCAGATGACAATGGAATTACGATTACGCGCCAGGTTTTATAGTAGACTGTGGTGAGGGAGCATACGTAAGAACGCGGTTTTTTGCGTAATATTTTTTGAATTGCGATTATATTCATGAAATAATTAAACGATATCACACAAAACAAACAAAACTAACGTTGAAAATTACGTAGCAATAATTTATAAATTATTCAGTATTTTTAAAAATGTTCGAATAAATATCGCGTGATATTTTAATTAATGTCTCATTGTCAGTGCATTAAGATACATCGCTGATAAAACGTTTTCACGCTGCAAGAATTTCATCTATCGCTATTTTTACATAATCATTTAGAGAAGAATCAAAAGTTCAGTATCATGATAATATAATCAATAGCGAATAACGTTAATATTTTATAAAATTTTCTAATGCGATTTTTCCTTTATTACGTTCTTCGTTTTATTAATATACGAATTTTACTCTTGGAAAAAATCTGCGAACAAAGTCAAGGTGATAATCAGTAGTGTGTGACGCGCATACAATTACAGCTCCGCTGACAAAAATCGCGTGAATTTAATTAAGAGACTGGTAATTAAGTCTCGACATGGAAATGAATGGAATTTTTGATGAATAAAATACGAAGTAACTAGAATGCTTTTGGAATACATCGTATATATCGAATCGATACATTATACTGTGCGTGCAGCACGTTTCATGAAATGCAAACCAGCTATCACGGTAATCAATTTCGCAACACAATATTACACAAGCGCGTTTTTTATTATTTTTAACAATGGGCTCCAAGTTTGTCAGGCGAACTTTGATTAATCTATGCAAATCATCTACGCAAATTGTCTTATTCTTTTTTCCTGACTTGCAATTTATTCTCTAATAATTCAAATATCAACGATAAAAGTTAATTGACGCTAAGTTTATCAATGATAAAAATTAATTAACTTGTAATATAATGAATTAAATCAATAAAAAATGAATAATGAATTAATGACAGCATGATTCCATACGTGTTCCAAATGTGTGATGTCACAGATGACCATTTTTCTGTTTAGCACACATTTAATATTTTTTAATAATTATTATAACACTTGTCCAAATCGAAATGATCGGAACTGAGCATTAAACTGCACGTAATCGAAAATTGAATCAAAACGCTGACTATACGAAACGCATACCGGTACTGCAAAACGAGTGCTACAACCGTGCACCGTCAACGGTCGTCGTGAAACTGTCCGACCTGAACCCTGAGCCTGAGAACATTATCCCACCCTTGAGTGAGCTTTACACGTGTTATACGGCAGTGCCGTACCGGACATGGAGATTCCGCACGTACGATAAAATACCAGAGATGATCGAATCTCAGAATAAAATTAATAAAAACTCGTTCTATAAAATTTAGTTATTAACTTTTGACATTAAAGATCAATTTACAAATAATGTTGAATGTAACAGAAAATTTGAAATTATTAGAAAAAAAGAAATAGCTGAATACAAACTTGAAAATTGTAGTTCTTAGCAATTTATTTCTATACTCATTTGTATCAATTATTCCATTATATTTGGTAAAGTTAAATTCGGTGAAACCACGAAAAAATAGTCATTGGAGAGAAAGTAGGTGACTCCGAAGTAGGTTCCTAACAGGAGTTTTGAAATCATTGAATCCGACCACCAGATCACATTTACGATTCCTCTCGTGGAGTATTTACAAATACCAACCTTTGTACGGTATTGATCGAAGCACGGAATTCGAAGAAAATCGTCACAGTATTCTGTCGGTCTAATAGTCTAATTGATCCTTGTTCAAAGCCATTTATCTTATCACCTACTTGCTAAATTGTTTTAATACTTTGATTATAATAAAAATGGCATTTTTCATCTTTATTTTTTGACAGTAATTTAATATGCGCAATTACAGTCTAAATAAATAATATGAGACATATTTACATATTTTTAATTATCGCAAAATAAATTAGCATAAATTTAAAAAAAAAAGACTGTTAGGGCCAGAACACACATTTAGTTAATTATTGGTTTAATTATATAAAAATCGAAATTTTGTGACTATAAATAAAAAGTAAAGTCTTTTAAAATCACCAAAAAACGGAGCATTCCTCAGAATAAATTGATTAGACGATACGATTAGGCGGTAGACTTGTAGATTGTACCGGGTTTTTACTCCGCCGGCGCGAGCCCATCGTTCCTGCGAGCTACCGAAAGAATTCAACCATGCTCAACCGGGCGAACACGTGATAGGATTACAGGATGAGTGAAGGGCATCTTAACCTACAACTCATTCACACCGAACATTCTTTTCCCTCTCGACCCGACTTACTCGTAGCTTCCATGCTGCCACAATGGATTTTTAAAGCGCATCGTTCCGCTGACACCGTTGGTGATAATGCGAGCGTTGCTACTACAAAGCTTCACTGCTTCACTGTTGCCGTTGGTACGGTCGCGATCGCCGCGATCGATGACGGATACGATCGAAACTGCACTGCTGCTGAGGCATCATCTCGAACGATCCTGCCGTCGTGCTCGTGCTCGTGCAGAAGACACGTACGCGCGCGCACGTTACGCAGGACAAGGGACTCGAGGAGCAGCCGCGTGAATTGAAATTCGGAGCATCGGTCGTTGTGAAACGCGAACGCACGAAAACGGTCCTCACGTCGATTCGTGACAATGGAAACGCGACGAATGACGTTACATGAATTCTGTCCTTGATCTTCCGCATTGTGGAAGATCGAAGTCACCGAAATAGTATACAAAATAATATAGGTTTAAGAAATAATCTTTTTCTGGAGCTCGACGAAGGAGATCCGTATTGCGAAACGCGAGAACGATCGTTGTATTGTTGTTAAGGTTGTTACATAAAGCTAGACCAAAAGTCGGACTTACGGAAAGAGGTTAGCCTCATGTTTCATCTTTTTCTTCGAGTGCATCCAGTTGCGAATGTGATGTTTCTTGCTATTAGTCTCTTTCTTCGCTCTGCCATGACCGCGCGACTTACCGTGACCGAACATGTTTCGCTTGACGGCTAAGGCACAGCCAAAAATCACAATGCACCGTAGTCGTATCACACTACGCGTCTAACAAACATTCGTCTCTTTAACTTCACGCCTCGTTAACACACGTCGAGATTTTAACCCCGCCATCGCGCATAATCCCGCCGCGATCTTACTCCCGAGAGTCCCGAGGCGAGAACCGATCGAAAAACCACGTGAAAACTGCACGGAAATTCGCGCGATACCGACAACGAGCGGCCACAACTACCGACTAAAAACAGAGACTCAGCTTTGTGTGTCATGATACGAGTAACTGTACAGGCATGCGATGCGAATGTGAATGTGCGTAATGCCGTATGACGTGGACGGTGAAGGATACGGGAGAGGATTAATGTTTGCGATGATGTTTGCGTGGATTTAACACGTTGATTATACCGCTTGTATAATTAACTTTGCGATAGCCTAACGAAAGATTGCTAACGGTAAATAAATTATGACAATTTCGAAGAAATATATCATTGCAGGCGCTTTAATTGGTTTTTTATTGACGATGTCATATATAGATTATAGAAAAATACAATTGTATTATACACAGTTATTACACTGTATCTTTTAGTATCTCTACTGATAGCATTTGAAACGTTACTGATGAAGTAGTGTGAACACTTAATTGCTCTTATTTACAACACCGTTCGAATGACATCCTTGATCTCAATCTCGTGCGTGACGAGCAAAGATTCGATCAGGTTCTTACGTTTCGCTTGGTCGAAAATGTTTGTCTTGAAACACGTTTTATTATTAATATTAAATGTGGATAGCGATTTTTTTATATCGATAAAACGTTTCGAAAGGAAATTGAATGGGATGTTTTTTCAATGTGGCTCACCGATGTCCGAACCACAATGTAGATTATCGGTTTCGACAGAGCATATTTTAACATACAAATTAAGCGAAGGGCATTTTCGTTACTCAGCGAGCATTTCTGTCTTTAAATAACACGAGGATTGGAATAAATCTCGCGACTTATAAACTTTACTCGCGATAAACTTGACTTTAGAATAACGCATTTTCAAACTAGTATTTGTAAAAATGTCTAACATTCTGATTAGGTACTTGTGCCTTTACAGTTTTACAAAAAGGTTGGCATGTATAATTATAGTCACGGTCAAGGCGAACTGGTCGCTTTAGATAGAACCGTTGGATAAAATCTGTTTTGCCTCAACAGTTTGCCTCCGCTTCAGTCTTTTGACGTAAACATCTCTTGATGTACACAGCGAATCGCCAAATACTCTGATTGCGTTAAAAATGAGATAAACTACAATTTATGATGAGTATTACGAGTGTCACTGTAAAAAGCAAGCGATAAAAAGCGAATTCGAGCGAATCGGATATGCATGCTAAAAGCAAACTTACTTGAAGAGACTTTTTCTCTCGGTCTCCCAAATGGAATGTCTCTCGCTTTTCATTTCCATTTTTTTCTGCTTACAATAATCATACGACCTTTCATACTTCTCCGAAAACATACGTATCTTTTTAACAATTTAAAGCAAGAAATCACGATGCACTGCGGTTTCGTTTGTAACTATGTTTGCAACAGACAATCCTTTCTTTAAATACCTACACGCTTTAATTGACATATAGCGAGCATTTAACGCTGCCATAATGTAAAATCTCACGCAACTTAATTTAGCTCGGAACTCGCGGAAATTGCGTAGGAATTGCGTGGAAACGATATCGGTAGACGACGAGAATCAATTACGAAGATCCACATACCGTAACATATCAAGTACACTACAATGTAGATAGGTATCATTTACAAATTGTTGCAATTTTACTAGCCAGACCCTCGATTATCCGTTCATTCGGCTCGTTTCGCGCCGGGATTCCTCTGTTTCCTCTCCTCTCGCTGCCGAATATCAAATAAAGTGTTTGCGCTTCGCCGAAAGGTACCTTACGCTCCTTTCTCGGCTCACGTCGCGCCTCCTTTTTGAGACGCGCATGTAAACGTGGTCGATATGAAACCGGTTCTCAAGCAAGCGAGAGATGCGTGCGAGGATAAAAAAATTGGAACTCCTGTGCCACAACGTCTCCCGAAGAATATATCCCATACAAATTATAATAGCCGCTATTTGTTAGCGCACACGTTCGCGTGCAGAAATTCGCCGGCGAATTTTCAGCGTGGCGAATCACCATTGCCGTTTAGCTACGCGATTCTGACAACTGCACTCGTTAGTCTGCATTTTAACGCGCGCTAAACTTATTTCCTTGCGTCATTTTGGCACGTGTGAGAGGATTCATTTGCGCTGCGCAAGCATTAGTTTCTCGGAAAATTCGCGCATTTGGTCGCCGAGTTAGCACGTGTCGAGTTACGCAAAGTGTCCAGAGACACATAGCACTGTCCGGGACACATTTGAAGCTGCCCGCCGAGGACGAGATATCGTATAAAGGAGGGTAAGGATATTTAATGTTAAGGTGTGTACCGGCGGCGTTGCACACCACGTTGCACCACGGCGCCCGCGCCGCCGCGCCGGCCCATGTGCGAATCGTACCACGAATGTCAAACAGACCGTAACAGAAAACTTTTGCATGTGCATTGTGTCCGTTAGACCTTTGGAACCGAGGTAAAGTTTCGCAGACGCTCGCTAAAAAATTATAAATTCGTTTCCGTACGTATGTGTAAAAGAACGATTCGGTCAGTGAAAAATCAACAAAAAAACTCATGTTTTTATCGAATTTTTATTCCAACTTTCGTTTCGATCATTTCCACACGGTTCTCAATTTTTTTTTCTTTATTATTTCAATCAGCGAGTATTTCAATTATCTAAAGAGAAACGGAAGACAAACAAAGTTTAATCAGAGTAATACATTTCAAACCGTCTTTATCTCATCTTCTATAGCCCTATTCTGTAACTCTAACGACAGTATCATTATAGTCGTTGCGCAGTTTTTTTTCCATATAATATACCTGCGCAACGACATATGATAACGATAACGACATTAACGACACTGTCGTTAAGAGTTACAGAATAGGGGTACTGCCACTTTAACGAGACATGTAAAATAAAAGAAAGGATGTCAGTTGTATTTTTTGATACGTCTTGGTTAATTAGGAGCTTATTTCTTGTCGATACTTGTCGTGTCTTTCGCCGGTCAGTTCATTTACCGCTTTCCTTCGGCGAGTGACAGCGTAGGCTATAATGACGATTCGGCCGATATGTATATGTACTCGGGAAGCTCGTATGTAACCTCGACATAACGAATGCGTAACATCACGCACGTTTGTCTCATACATACGCATCTGTCTATTCGCAGGATCGCACGCAACACGCTCTCACACACTCACCTGAGCTCATGCTCGGACGTGCTCGGGGTTCCCTGCGTGTAAACATCCGCGTAGACGATTATTGTCGTTGGGTCTCCTTCTGCTCCCATCCTCCCGCCTGTCATATCGCCGGAACGAAATGATTACACCGCGCCGGCGTCTTGCACTTTGTGCCGTCACGTGGTCGAGTCGACGCGGTTCCCTCTTGTTTCAAGCTGATCGTCCTACGCGGTCGTCTGGAATTTGTCGCCGCACGGCCCACACGCGAGTGTTCCTCGCTGGACAAAGAAAGAAACCACACGTAACCGCAGACGATACAAACGCTACTTCGTTAATCCGATTGTTGCGACGAGCGATTTCGATCGGAAGAAACGAAATCTCCATTCATCCCATGCATGATCGATAATATCGGGATGCCTTTATCCGCACGGCGCGATTTACAATTACGTAATAATACTGACAGACGACAAATTACTGTTCGAGCAGAAAAACAAGCTTACGTATGATATGCCCGACTAAGCTCTCGCAGCAGTCCACTCATCGACAATCTGCGAACAACTGACGACTTTCGTCTGTGCCTGCCTGCTGCCTGGCTGCCCGGAAACCCTTCTAAAACTATCTGTACAAATAACACTTTTCTTCTGACTCGACCCTTCGTTCTATGCGCTATGTGTTTCCTATTCTTTGCCGATAGGCTAATAAAATATTTGCCTCGAATCATTAGTGAAACATGTCTCAATTATTCCAACAATTTCACTATTCCAATATAGACACGTATTCAAACTTAGGAAAAGAGATAGAGAATCTAATTAAACTAACTTTAATTTGAAATTACGGACACACACACACGAAGATACATTTTATATTTATTTTGCTATACATATATGGCAACGCAAAATCGCAAAAAATTGATGTCACTGAAATAGATTTTAATCTCTCTCAGCGCAAGATTATATTTATCACTATGTGTAGCACTGAAAAATAAACTGATCGAGATTGAAGTCCAGATCCCCGCGAATGTCACACAACAATCTAACACATACAATTCGTTTTTGTCGCACTTGCGCGCATCATGCGTCACGTTTGAGGCTCGGAGAGGGTCTGTCGCTGCCCCTTCTACAGAATTCTTATGGGGTCCTTTGTTGCTTGCCGCCTGCCGAGAGCCGTCCGGTCATCTGTGAATAGGTCGGAAAGCCTCAATTTCCAAGAGTCACGATATGAAGGAATGAGTATTTATAGCGAATCGTATCCTTTAGAAGGATTCCCAGAAAAGATTAAATATTTTCTACAATTTAGTGAAATATATTCAGCATGTGGGTATATGATAGATGAGATTATCAAGAATTACAAGTTTCTATGTCATATGTTATTTGTGATACGCTGAATGTAAAAATACTAAAACGGATTTTAGTAAAGCGTTTAATCACATGCTATACATATATTTGCACAGTCATTAATATCAACACGTTGAGCGCGCCAACGTAACTGTTTATCATAAAGCAAAAACAGTTATAACACAGCGATAAAATATACATATATCTATCACTGCATGCAATGTATTGAATACACCGATATAAAAGTTTTGCTTAATTAAACGCGTCTTGGTTTCGAGATAGAAAGAAAAGATATTATTGATATAATAAATAATAAAACGAAGAAGTTTTGTATTTTAGCAAATGTTTGTTTTTAAACAATTGATAATTTAAAGATTGAAAATATAGAAATTTATAAACATAATAATCGCGCGGAAATAGCATCGAATAAAGAACAAAGCATTAGAAAAATATTCTTTTATTTAAAGAACTCCCATGTTATAAAAAACGGGAAAAAAATGCAACAATATCGTTTTTATAGGCGATCAAGTGTAGTGTTTGTTACTTCACATCTTATTGTTCTCTTAATTAAAATAGCACACTTAAATATTCTTTCAAATTTTTGTAGGCTCTTTTATTTTCTTCTCTGCGTTTGGCATATTTTTGGCACTATTTTTCTTCTTAATATCTTCAACCGTGGACACAAACTTGAAGATATCATCCGCTAAAAGAGCTGGTTCTTCAAATGCAGCGAAATGACCTCCGCGCGGTAAATGATTAAACTGTATCAGATTAGTATATCTTTCGCGAAGGATACTTTCCGGTTGATAGAATAATTCGTAAGGAAATGCCGCACACGCTACCGGCACATCAATAGGCAATCTAGAAATTAGACATATGTTATTGGAAATAAAGCATAGAAAAATTATTTTTTAAATATAGAAAATAAAAAAAATTCTTATAATAGAATCGCAATAAAAAAAGAAACGCACTCGTCGATCTTGCTCGTCATATGGGCCTTGCTAAATTGCTCGGCATAAAGTCGTACACTTGTAGTCAAAGAGTTGGTAACCCAATAAAGCATGACATTATCTAAAAGCTCGTCTAACGTGTATTTCTCGAGAAGACCGCCATCGGGACGGAATCTGTACTCAGGATTCGTCCATGTACTGAACTTTTCCAAAATATATCCTGCTAATGCGACTGGCGAGGCTGCCACAGCAGTACCTTTAAAAATATTTTAACTCTTCAACAGATAAGCTTATCTTGCTCTCTTATCTGAAATATCTTAAATACACATAGAAATGATATTGGCATATTATAATAGTTTAATCTGAGACTTTACCTTAAATACAATTTTTAATAAATTATATCTAATTCAATGATAAAGAAATTAATAACACGTAAAGAGATTCCTATTAAAAGTTTTTTCCATAAAAAACTTCTTTATATATATCTATGTATAACCATGTACATACCTATAGTATCTGGTTTACTAGACTGTATATGCATGTATCCTGATTCCTCGAGGAGTCGACCCGTATGATATCCCAAAGGGTACATTCTATCGGAATATTCGCTCTCGACAACGAGCCATGGGACAAACGAACCGATTAATCTCCATATCATACTGGACTTGCTCATAACCATACACATGTTCGTATGAGTGCCAAGAATGCTGAAAAAGAATAATCATCGTTTTTATGCTCTTACGTACTCTCTTAAGTCGCATTGAATCGCATTAAGCAAGTCATCATTAATAATACGTACTTGTCCGGGAAAAGACTAGATAAATGCCCAACAACAGCGGAGCCCCAATCTCCGCCCTGCGTGTAAAATTTGTTAAAACCGAGACGCAACATAAGATTTTTAAATATAACAGCTATCTGAAAATAACAAACAATTTTTGCATTAGCATATTTTTTTTTCTTTCTTCGCTTTCTTCGTTGTCTTAGGCGCGTGAATAGAACGCCACTTAATAAGATTATTAAGGAGTTATTCTGTGTAAACTTTACCTGCGGCGAGGCTAATCCTGGTCGCACAGCTCCTTGCGAGAATCCGTATCCCGGAAGCGAGGGCGCAATCACCTCAAACACAAAGTCTTTGTCAGGACGCGGTGTCGTTAACATGGGAATAATCTTTTGGAATTCCACTACAGATCCTGGCCAGCCGTGAATAATCAACAATGGAAAAACCTTTACGTTTTTTCGTTCCGGTGGGATATTAGGTTTCACATGATAAAAATGTATGTCCAGACCTGTAGACATCAATGTCAATTTATGCAATTAGTTTTGTGTTCCAAATAAAATTTCATTTTAGCACATATACATATTAAATATGGCGAACGGTTATTTCTTTTACGTGGAGTCAAAGATTAACTAATCGTGCGATATTTGCATTTTTGTATTCTGGCATAAAAATAATGAAAATATGTTTTCTTCGATTCTGTCAAAGTGTTTTTAACGCGCCACAAAACCGGCTTGTCGTTTAGGTGCAAAATAGTAACGGGGCTTTTACGGGTTGCACCATAGTTGGGTTATCTGGGCTGGCATTTATTATTTACCGCTAATAACAGACGGAAGGGAAACAACGAGTGCTGAGAAAAGAGAAAAATAAAGAGATACTTAGTGAGCGCGATGCCGCAACTTGTTTCTGAGCGAGTCTTACAACTATCGCAAAATAATCACGAAACTCTTTCAAAAGATCGCGTTTGAACGACAAAAAGATTTATTACCTTGTATATTGGTTATGTATTGGGGATACTTATTCAGCAATGCTTCTCGTTCAGTCCAGTTATACTTTGTGCTCCAATATGCAAGAACATCTTTCAAATATGTCGTACTGATACCGTAAGTCCACGCAGAATCCTCCAATGGTTCCACGAATTCTCTCCTTTTTGTGATTCGTTCATTTAGGTCGTCAATTACCTTATTCAAGAAATTGCATTTTAGTTAAAAATACTTGCGCGTTCCTCCTTTGGTTTTTCTACGAAAGATTTATTACCGATTCTTTCAAATTGCGATAAAATCATATTTTCTCAGTCATGCTCAATCGATTGATTCCCTCACTGAGAAAAAAATTGTTAATCCGAAAAAATATTTAGTCCGATACGTTCAACTAAACATTTTAGTTAATTAACTAAACATTAGTTGTTTTAACAATTTATTTAGTTTCTTTAATCAAGAATTAATTAATTCAACTAATGTTTAGTTAACTAACTAAAATGTTTAGTTGAACATATCGGACTAAATATTTTTTGAGATTAATAAATTTTTTTTCTCAGTGCTCAAATTAAAAATAGCTAAATTGCTTGTTTTATTCCACATTTTTTTGGAGATGTATTAAAATTTTTTTTACAATGACTCTTGTATTTCTTTATCTTTTTCGTCACATATTGAAATATTCAACAAGTTTTTTAAAATACCTATGACAGACTTATGCAAAATTTAGCATTTTAAGTTGAACTGTGTCTGATACTTTTGCTATTTTAATTGGTTGTAAATATTTTTGATAAGTTTATGAGCCATGTTCCTTCATGACGTTTACGTAAAAGATTATTAATGTATATCATAGTTATTTAGTTTCGTTAATAAAAACTATGATTTCCGATATTAATGAGATGATAATATCGATTAATATAGTATCATAATACAGTATCGTGTTATGTGATTGAATGAAATAAAAATTACAAAATATATGCAAATACATAATCGCAAATATGTATTAACTGACTATGAAATTAGTATTTATTAATAGATAAAACTTTTTTTGTTACAATGTAAAAATGTCTTACATAACGAATCGGTAGAAGTATAGAGTGGAGCCTTGAAAACTATTTACTTGCCTTATAATAGATAAATGGCATATTTCTTTCACGACTTACCGACTTCGGTACTTTAATAACGAACGGTCGTACTTCCTTCGAGGCTCCCTTATTTCTTTCTGGCCCCCAGAATGTCTCAGGCAAGTCCGGTACATCTATAGGACCGGTTCTACGAATGAATTAATGACACTGAATCTTTATGATTGAATTACATTGATTGTTAGTTAATTATTTACAATTCCGATGTGAGAAAGAGAAAAGTTGTTTACCAGTCAAAACGTATTATTCTGGTTTAATGTGATTTATGGAACTTACCGGAATAAAATAGCTATACCACAGGCAAGAACAAAGATCACGGTCGTGGTCTTCCACATCGTGCGTCCGCTTCATACGACGTAGAACGTACGACTAACGATAGCGCTGCAATCCTGCAATAGCTCAGCTCAGTCATTGTTGGCAGAGATGGTAGGGGAAAATGGTAGGCTATCTTGTTGTGCACAGGTTTTATATTCCAATAATCTCTTCAGATATCTTGCCTCTGACATACGATAAAGTTGGTTGTTCAAACGTATACGAATCTTTCTATCGACATCCAGTCAATCTTTGTATAACTTTTTTTAGTCGTTTTTTACAGTTCAAGAATGATCTCTTTGATAATTTATGAATAAATTTTAAAGAATATTTGTGCAGTATAAATTCTCACAAAAATTTTCATACATTATATAATATATGTATAGTATATATAAAATTATGTATATATAATTACTTTATATATGTATGCCTATAAATATATATGTATATATACATATAGACATACATAATTATATATAACTGAATATGTACGTGAAGCAAGTGCTACAGTTTATTGAATATATTCTCCGGTATGTGGATGTTTACAAACAGAATCTAACGGGGGAAGAATACTAAATTATAGATCAGCGAATGCTATATTCATCGAATATGTTGAAAATTAATCGAGATATTGATTAAATCCATGAAACCCTTAAAAAATTAATTTAATTTAATATTATTGGCTTGTTAATAAACAATTATAAATTTATCTTCAAGGCTAATAAAATAATAGTCTTTAAACTGAATTTATGAAAAATTCGTGTACTACAGAGATTGCTCGCAGAATTGATCCTCGATGGTTGAGGCTATTAATTTCAAAATCGATTTTGTATATGTCTTAATGAGAATCTTAGTGATAGATTATAATTTTTTGCGCGTATTATCTTCAGGTCTTAAGTATCTGAAGCACATAAAAAATAACGGTTTAAAGTTTAAAGAGAGAGATAGTTTGCTTTTAATAAATAAAAAAAATGAGATTGCCATGTTTTTTGCAATAATTTATCATGTTTTCGGCTTGCTGAGATTCTTGATTTAGAATTTTCGATTATAATTTCCAACATCTAAAATAAACTCAATATACATATATGTACATACATTACATAATTACTTCTATCATCTCTATAGTAATTAGATACTAATTCTGAACTTTGAATCACATAGACAGTGAAGGTAATCGAAAAAAATCAGCTGTATATCTATTTTATTATTTAATTGTTTTCTTAATATTCTTTTTTTCTTAAATGTCAGATACATCGTGAATATTTTATTCTTTGCACTTCAAATTAATTTCGTTCAACGTGGACTGTTATCGCACACTTTAATTGCACTTTTTGTTTTGTGAATTTATTAATCTCACCTAAGAGAATAATCAATCTCGCTCAATTAAGAACATTTTGGTATCTTTTTTAAGAGATATTATCTGCAAATTATGCATTTAATTTTCGTTTCAAACGATGCTAATAACGTCGCGAAATAAAGTGCGAAAATAATAGCGCTAATTCGTCGGAATTAATTTAAAATGTGAGAAAAGAATATTCGACGCGAATTTATTTTATAAAATGTTATATTTCGAAACGACAATAAACTGTCTGCCGCGCGATTTCGGTGGTTGTTTTTGTAACGTACAGCGGGACGGTTGCGCACGCCGCGCCGTAAACAAAGTCACCCCATTCCCCATTCACCCAACTACCGGCGCTACCATTCACGCTACGATGCTCGAACGGGCAGGCACGGCGCGAGATGCTCCGCGTATCGTCGCGTTAGTGCGCATCGAAATGCAATAATTTCATATGAATATTCAACTATTGTCTTGCAGTCTCTTGCATAATTAATTCCTATTAACAATTAACGGTATGCGCGCGTATTGAAATTATGAAATTACGATTAAGTCCATAAGCAAATGTGCCGCACAATTTACTCATCAGAAGTAAGAACAATAGGGGACGAGACGTATGAATAGCTGTTTTATTGCGATATTATTACGATGTCAAGCGACAATCATCTCGTTAGTGATGCGTGGAACTTTTTTCCATTCTCGTTTAATGTAATCTGCTTGTTATTCTCAGATTAATGACGCAATGTAGTGATTAAAATAAATCGCAATGTGTTGATTATTTATTAATAATACGTTATTTTTTGCGGGATTTACGCGTTTGTAATATACCTCGCACGCAATATTGAATTTAGATTTTATATTTTCGGATAGTTTATTGTGTTTTAATTGACCCTTATCTTAATTTTATTAATTACATCGTATCGGATGATATCAAAGTAACTTCCTCTTATATATATGGACTTACATACGTGATTATGGCAATATCAAAGTACTTGAGCTGCGTGCGAGTAACGTTGCCGTTTAAAAGCGTCGCGTCACTGCGTCGTGTCACGGTATTCTAGTAATATTAGTGCGCGATCACAATTAACCGTATTTTCGCGAGTGTTGTGCAACCAAGGAATCTGAGATGAGGAGAAAGAGTAGGCCTTTCTTAGGCATCGAGCGATGGCGAAGCGGATTATGAGGTAATTTATTATGTATTGTAAATATAATGTCTCACATAGGTTTATTCCGCTGCTTAGAAGGGGGGGAGGTAGAACAATTTAGCTTTAATATTTAATTCTGAATTATGTACAATTATTTGTGTGCTGATTTACTGCATGTGAAAATTGCATCTCTGCATTATTTAGTGACATATTTTGATGTTAATTATACGACATATTACACGACAGAATTAATTGCGAAATATAATGTAGCTACTTGAAATTTATGTAGCAATCTCTAATAATATAAAAAAATAATAGAAGGTGAAACATAAACTCTAATAAATATTTCTCATCGCAGTATAGGAGAATCTCTTATATAAATAATTTGAAAATTAATTTGTCAGTTATACTAACTTTTAACTTTTAACGTTTTTTATTAAAAATAATTCCAATAGCATATTGTCAATATAATATCTTTATATGAAAACTAAAAGTCGTATATTATCGAGAATATGAAAAATCGATATTGATACACAAGTTTATTGTACGAAAAACTTCTTTTTCATTTCGGATCTCATTTTTTATCGAGCGTCATCAGATGTGACATACTGAACTTTGAACGTTACGGAGTGGGGTGTAACTGACCGAAGTTTCTTTTCTTTCTGTTTATGAGTCTGCCTGTTGATTCATAATTCAAGACTTCCGTGACGTCCGTCGTCGTTACTATTCAGTGCATTCGTTTCTTATGCCAAATGATGCCACGTAGAAAGCATATATTAGCTATAAATAATACACTATTGATTCTATTTCTAGCCTGAAGCTCAATCAGCTATCACAATCGTCAATTTAAACATATAATATTTAAGATTTAATATTCTTATAGAGATCATTTTATATTAAAATTGTGTTGGTGTAAAAATATTTAAAGCACGATGAAAGTATTATATAATTCGAATGAAACAGCAGACATGACAAAAATGATTAATTCTTAAACGAAACTCATACATAAATACAATTTATAAAATAATTTACAAAGATCATCTTTGTAAATTACAGTCTACAAAGATGCTTTGATAAACTTGAAGTCGATTCTTGACTTGTAAAACCAATAGAGTATACGATACATAAGAAAATAATTCTCGATTACGCTAGATTCAATAAAATTGGGATACGTGGAAAAATAGGGTATGGTGTACAACCGTAGGATTCAATTAAAACAATAACAAATACATATATTTCTCGAAATGTGATACAATAGAGGTTTTCTTGTGTTGGTGGTCATATCTAATTTTTCTCATGTTTTTCATATTTTTATTTAAGTGGATCGGACGATTATTTATCGAAGACGCGGCGTCTGTTCTCTATCTCATTTTCTTACCGTTCTATTTGGAGCAAAGCCGGCGGCCGCGTCTGTCTCTCGCGCTGCTATATAACTCTCTACTATTTTATTTATTCCTATTTTTATTTATCGAATTGCGATGTGTGTCAATCATGCTAACGCGCTTCTTATAGGCCAAATAACTTGTGCCGAGATCCACGTTATATCGCACACTCAACATCATTAATAGCGGTTGAAACAATGATCGAGAAACAATGATCAATTCAATTTTTAGCACTAATAAACGAGCGTCTTTCTGGTAAAAACTTTGCGACACGAAGTCATTTTCGGTATTTAAAATTCGTGTTGCGAATAAACAGTAAAAAAAAAAGAAAGAGATCGTTTTCCTTGTCTATAAAATTCTGTATTGTCCTTAATGACGACAAGTGTGCGTGACAAGCAGAACATGTACGAGCTGATATTGGCTCGTGTTAAACTTCAAATAGATATTTTAGATAACTGAAAAACTTCCTTGCAGTCTACGTTATACGCTTTAAAGAATAACGTGAGAAACTTCGTATACAATCAGACGCGAAATTCTGTTTTCCTCTATTACGCTTTTTCGTAGGCAAGGCCAACGCTACTTTCTTTTCCGTTTAATTCATTACGTCGGGATAACAAGCCATGCAGTAGCTATTTTATCAGATAACCTTACGATATGATTTATTTTCGAAAAATAAAATTTTGTGCCGCTACTAAAATTATATGCGATACTATCGGGCGAAGGCGTTCGCTAAATCTGCCGACGCAAGATATCGATTCAGTAATCCATCGCACATGTCACGTGGAATTCTTCGTCATTTACGCAGCATTTTTCTGTTAGAATGTGCAAGGCAATCGTGAAGAACTGTAATCGGACGATTTCGTGCGCGCGACTTTCGGCAAATCACTCGAAGTATAAGGCATCGAACATTCGCGCATGAACATATAACGGTCTATCCGTAAAAAAAACCTTACGATTCCGACGAAATTACAATTACGTATACAATTTTATTCTTATATTTTATATAAGAAACGCGTATGAAAAAAATTAATACAGTAAATGGATATATAACACGCTTGAAAGATTTAAAAAATATTGCGAGGATAAAATGTTTTTACGCGCGGTCAATAAAATTGTCCTGCGATATTTAAAGCGAGTTTGCCGTCGATCGAACGCGAAGTTGAATTGAAACTTCGTTACATCGATTCTCTTACCCTCTCGACTGACAAAATGATGTTATATGTACAAAACGTCCGTGTTTCTCGTTTGCGCATCGAGTGTCTCTCTCGTACGGTTAAAAAGAAAAACCAGACTATTACGTATCGTCGGTACATAAATCTCTAACGAAAGTAAAAGCTTCGGCCTGGCGTTTGTCGTTATTTTTAAAATCATTAATCGTGGCGATTGGATTACAAATCTCGTTCGTCGTTCGGATTACTCGCCCACATTGTTGAAAACTCACAATATATCGGTCACTATTATTGTCACTAAATTTTGCAACGAGCACGAATCTCATTCAGATGTCGTTCAATCTCGCGTTGATCTGTACAATATAGGTTCTCTCTCTATAGCTATAATTTTTATAGCTACTTCACAAAAAGCGCATATCTCCTCATCGGTTCCACTTTCGCTCTCTCGATCGCCATCACCGATTCTCACGGTGATGGAAAAATAAACATCTAAAAACTTAAAAAGAAGGGCCAGTGCACGCGAGCCTGTAGCTAGCTTACATTTAAGCACGACGGTCATATCTTCGTGTCGTGTACATGTAATATTTTTACTTTTGCGACGACGCCTACGATTAACCTCGACGATGCCACGCACCCACACTGGGAGGCTACGCGATCCGATCGTCGGACACGGTTCGTTTCATATCGTTTCGTTTGTCTCAAGTTCCACGTTGATAAACCCCGTCAAAGACACAGCGCTCGTAATCGTCGCTCGTCAGAATGACACGATGTCTTAAAATATATTTTACAAGAGGGCATCCTGTACAAAAGTTTGTTCGCTACGCAACAAATGATATCTCCGGGATGGGCCGGTCCATCATTCGTGCCCCGAGCCGCCGACGTTGGGCCAGCGGGCGATATTTTACGAAAGAAGAAAAGGGATAGAGTCGCGCCGCGACGCCTTCCGCGCACTCCAAGTACGCTCCTCGCGTAGCCGGATTGATTTCGCTACACGCTAAAAAGAGAGAGATAGAGTAGATAGGTAGATAGATTAAAGAGAGAAAGAGAGAGAAAAGAAACGATGAAAACGAAACACGTACGTCATCTATCTTACGATTAAAACAACTAGAATCACTTGTGTACCATCACCACGTGGGATACGCTACAGTAATTAACGCATTCGCGGAGAACCTGGATAATTAACCCGTGCGCAGAAAAGCGTCGTGTTCTCCCAACCATCGCTCGCCTCCGCTCCATGTCGCGACCTAACGATATAGCTCTTTACGTGTGGCAGTGCTCAGCGCCGACGAGATTCGTCTTTTCTTCGCCGAAGAGTACGATTTCATGAAACTTGCGTCTTATACGTAGCTTATTCTCATAATAATTCAATCCATTGTAATATGGCTCCCTGTGCAAATCTAGAAAACTCGAATGCTGATGCTGGCGAAATCGACATATCTCGTCGTGCGCTGCACGCACGGATTTATTTACGTGTAACGAACGCATCTCCTTCCTCAAACGCATACTCATTGTATTATGTGTATGTGTATGTTGTGTGTATATGTATATATATTTCTCTCTTTACTTCAAATTATATATATATATATATATATATATGTTCTTATGTATATATATATATATATTCATATATGTAACGCGCACGCGCGTATGTGTGTATGTGTGTGTATATAATCTAACTATACATATAACTATTTACAAGTGGAGGAGTTTTCTAGAGCAGGACAAGGAGCGAGGACTCAATAAGAATTTTATTCGAGAGTAAGAGAAAGAGAATGATAGAGAATAGGATCCTCGGAGATTTCTGAGGAAGTTGGTTGTCGGCTTTAGGGTAGCGGGGCAGTCGATTTGGGAGTCGATGGTATTCGTCAACATTGCTCCGCGTCCCCTTCGCTTCCTCCGCGACGGCGAAGGCTGCTATGTGCTGCGACTATAAGCGAGGGAGTTGTAGCTGGGCGGTGATGCACCCTCGTATCCGCATCTCTCTCTCTCTCTTTTTTCGCGTGTCGCTCGAGCTGGTGCATGGCCGATGACGGGGTGTTAGACGTCCGTGTACTTGCTCAGTTTGTCGCGTAGCAACATGTTCTCGTTTTTTAACCGGTCCAGCTCCTGCCGCAGACCCATATTCTGCAAACAAAGCGAGAAAATGAAGGTTCGACTAAACTTTTCCCTTTTAACCAAACGAAGACATTCATTTAAAAATCGATAACTTTGGCAAATAGTATATTTCAAGTTTTAATTCTTTAAACGGCAAAGTGTATAAAATAATATAAGCTGCACCGAGACGAGCTTGATATATTAATACAAGCCATTCACTATAGCTAGAGATAATTTTATTTCCGTTGTATTTACGATTTTGATGAAAAGTCTACGAAATCTCGATTTTACTTAAAGCCTCCGCACAACGAAAAATATAAGAAACAAGGAACAGATATTAGCGATTAGGACTAAATCAGGAATAAAACTGAATGCACGATTAAAAACACAGACAACAGAAACAGAGAATAACGCAGGCAATAGATTTGTAACCTATCGGAAGCCGTGTATTAATGCTACACTAGCTTTATTCTTGATTTCTTATTTCTAATCGCTAATATCTGTTCCTTATATTTTTCATTGTGCGGGGGGCCTCTAGTTTTTTCCAAGTCTTGAATCTTATATCTTTAAACGTCTCCGATAACTTTATGAAGCAATTGCATTGGTAGATGCAGTCTATGTAGCAGTTTCAAATTTCCAGCCGTGAGAAAATTTACCTCTTTCTCGAGGAAGCCGGCCCTGAGTGCTATCTGGTTCTCCTTCATGCGGCGCGCGTCTCGCGATCGTTTCGCTGCCATGTTGTTCTTCCTACGACGCGCCCAGTATTTGTCATCTTTCAAGTCATCCGGAACGAACTGCGGCCGCAAACGGAAGAGAGAGAAAGAACATAAGAACGTTAGAGTTAGAGAACGCTCGTATTCATTTACGATTTACGTCGCGAAAAATTACGAACGCGTAGTTCGATGAGGATTCAGTTTATTTCGATAACTAGCAAATTTGACGTCGGAAGCAACGAATAATATAATTATGTAAACACGTTATGTAACAACAATATAATTATGGAGACTCACCTGCTTCCGCGATTTCTTGATCATAGGTTGGGGTTTGAGCTCCTCGTCGGAGAAGGCCCGGGTACGTGGATCGAAGTCTCGCCCCGATGAGGCCATCGAGAGCGCTACAAGAGACAAGCCATATTGTATTCGTGACGAGTCCCCGGAATCTGTTGCGCGGAAGGGGAATCGACAATGTCGATGTTAGTCTAGTTTGCTTGATGTACTCGACAAGCTCGACGTTATTGCAATACAGATTCTGAGATAGCGTATACTTCTTATCTTTTCTCCGTCTTGTTGTAAAAATGCAGCTGCGGCTGCTGCATTATTTACGTCAGAGTTGCGGCTTCTTTGTACTTTTCGTTCGTCACTCCGTTTTTAGATCGTTTACTTTCAGTAAAACTTTCCATTTATGACTTTCTATTGCATTTCTCTCTTTCTCTACGTACTCTTGTACTTTGTTTTTCTTAATTTTCCTATATTCCATTGCACATACATTTGTACATTATCGAGTACTTCATTTTCTAAAATTATTCGGTACTGATATTTATAGACGTACAATATTAGAGGTCTGAAGTTTTTATCCCTTCGTATGAAATCGTGTGAATCACTTCTCAGGATCTCGATATCGCGAACGACGGCTATGACGAGGAATAAAAGTGAGAGAGCGAGAGAGAAGGTTGTATTTTACTCACTAGAATCCGCGGGAGAGGGTGGGTTCAGGGTGTCCGGCGAGCAGCACTCGCTCGGCGATGGTGATCTCTCACGCTTGGTAACTGGTTCCAAATGTAGACCCGCTGGTCCCTGATGTCCGGGGGCTTCAGTGTTGTTGATTTTATGAAGCTGGCTGCCTTGCATGGCACCTTGTCCACCACCAGCCACACCGTCGACGGGGATGCCATTTTCAGAAAGAAACTCATCAAGGTCGACGTACTATTAACAAAGATCTGAGGTGTTATTTCCGAGACGATTTCTCGGGTCTTTATCAAATTCGAGTAGGGTTTATCTTAGGTTTCAAGGTAAACTTGGGCGAATACTTAGAATTCGCAATTTTTAACGGGCCCATAAATAATGATAATACAATCATATATAAATAATATTGTAATACATGTAGACTTTATATCAATACAACTGATAAAGAGACCAAAGATATATTTTATGTTAATTTAGAATTGAAATTTAACTTTATAAGTACACAATCAGTTAATATATTTTGCCCAAGTACATAAATTAAAACCACTATATTAATATGAATGTGAAAGCTGGTGTGTCCACATTTTTTCTACACACACATATATATATATATAGATATACATACTGTGCTCTTAATTTTGAAAAGGCATATAAAACCAGGCGGAACTTTTGAATGTAATGAAGAAATAGGCTTTCGTAGAAAAATCTTTCCATTTCTATTTCATTTTGCACTTTGTAATTTTGCTCTGTTTCTTTATCGAGATTCAAGTGGCGTATCGCGATGGAAGGAACGCAAGTGGTGAAAGTTGGCGAAAGGTTTATGAAGAGTTTTATATACTTTTCCAAAACTTACATTATTTATACAATTTATTCGGATCGCACAGCTATATATTTCAATTATTAATTATCATGCATATATACCCATATAACTGTATAAATTAAGACGATGAATTGTTTACGTAATATTATACGCAAGCAATTGAGTTGCTTTCCTTAGAAGATAGACAAGTTTCGCTATTCTATAGAGAGTTATCTAAAAGGATATACTTTTTTGATAAGTTATTCAGATGGTTTGGCTAAAAATAATAATGGAGATAGAAAAGAATAGCCGAAACTTCCTCGATTCCGCCGAGGCATAACGGAGAAAGCGGCCGCTATCGTCGCGATTGCATAGCGGCTTAATATTCGGCTTCCCGGTTTCTCGACCCAGGAAGGCGAATTATAACGGAATAAGTGTTACAATGGTCCGCTACATTGATTTTTTATTCAATTATATAGCGTGCATATATAGCCATTTCCGCGGCGGGATAACTTTCCGGGGAGCTTTGCGGAGCACATCTCAAAATCGATGCTATTTCAAAGAAAGACTCGTACAAATAACTTTAAAGAAGATATAAGGTTACGTGTTATATTTATTATCGCGATAGGTAATGGATAGAAAATCACACAAAGAGCATGGATTATGTCAACGAATAAACAATAGTACTCAAAAGACAAAACGTACGACACATGATTAGTTTCAGTTCCCGATTTTATTTTATGAAATTTTGGGATTAAATTCAGCCAAATTATAGGCTTACCGTATCGCGCCTTTATACATACATGGTTTAATACCTTCAGGTCGGCATCGTAAGGCAAAGTTTTGTCCCAGAGATTGGGCCCGAGAAAGGCGGCCTGCGCTTCCACGTTGCCCCAAAGTTCGCCGTCGGCATCCTTCTTTTCCTCTGGCCCATCTTTACCTTGTTTCCCTGCAAATTCAATTTCGTTTGCTTATAGATAACAATATTCGTAATCTTTAATTACAATTTCTTAGGCCGATAATTAGTTTTACGACATAAATATTCTGTAAGTATAAAGTCTGTTCCATTGCGAGAAATCTTTTTTTACGGGATTATTCGTGTATTTTAGATTGCGACCGTTCCACGATCGAATTCATAACCGCGTTAAAGACAATCTTTTCCGACGATACTCTCGGACACGTGGAGATATTAAGAATGCTATTGACAAATACGTTCATTCGCTTTTACAATACTTCTACTTTCTCAATTCTTTTTCCCCAAAATTTCCGGTATACATATACAATATAACACCTTCTTCATCGCGGTATTCATTATACGATGTATATGACAATGTGCAATTTTACACATCTTCCGGTTTTCTAGTATTTCCAGTATTTCCTGTCTTTAGTATCTTTCCTACAATTCTTTTAGACTTTATGAATTTATGCTAAAATATTATACGCCCACGTAAAAAATATATATGAGTATTTTTATATATACATATAAATGTATAAAAACATTTAAACCTTAACGAGCTTTTTTATAAACTTTTTCATATTTTAATTCTATATGATATTATGCATTATTCAACTAGCACTCAAATTTTTCATTGCATCGTTTGGAATTGAAATTCACGCGTGGAGAAAATGGAGAAAAAGAGTATAAGCTAGTCGGTGGCCTTGAAGATGCTCATCCAAAAATAGTAAGCTAGTCAGGATCATCATCTTTTCTATCCCGTCTCTTCTCATTTTTTTCTCCATGTTCATACAATATTGTTCTTTTAACATATTATAAACGCTCATCAGTTATTAATAATTATGAATTGCATCAATATTACAGCCACATCAAATTTATCGCGTAGAAGTACATATTTTTTGGTTAAATAGATTATGCGTAGTGCATAGTGCATAGTGTGTGTATATGCATACTTCCTGATGCGTATTTCTGATCGTCTGTATTATCAAGATTTGACAAAATTGTTCACAGTTATTTAGATTCGTGTTTCTATTTCGATAGTCATCGAGTCTGGGGAGTGTCGGGTCGACTGTCAAGGCTATGAGAACGTGCCTTGTCATGCTACGATGTTAGTTACTAAGACTAAGATATGTCGGATGGAAATAAAAAGGATTATGATAATTATGAGGATAATGATGGTAATGATAGTAATGACAATTATATTTATGATGATGATGATGACTATAATGATAATGATTATGACAGTAACGATGACGATGACGTATAAGGATCATAATGATTGGCAACTATGTCATGATAGCAAATATACTAAATAATCGTAGAAATAAACGATGTACATATGTATAAAGCAATGAAAGAAATTTAGGCTTTAGACCCCTATTGAATTGTCCCCGCCGGAGATTTCTTTTAAGAATATGTTTGTCATCTTTTTCGAGCTTTATACCGCGTAAAATATTACCAAGGGCAACGTAACTCTATTCGATGGTATGCTAATTCCGTCACTTCTCCACTTTTTTCACTTTGGTTTACGGAATATCGGCTTGGCAGTCCGCTCTCGCGCGAACGGTTTGCCGAGGTTTGTGGTTTCTGATGTACCAACGCGTTCTATTCAACTATTGTTGCAGTCGTGCCTGTAAATTCAAGGCTACACTCACAATACTGCGTCCTGTCGCGACAAATGTGTTGAATATACATTTACGCAAAACCGCGAGATATAGCCCGGTCATATAGCACTATAGGATACGCGCGATCGGACTCTCTCGAAAAGCATCACTAACAAGGCTTTTTGGTAGCGATAAGCGCGCGAACATCATGGGTATCGTGGCTAAAAAATGTTAATAACATGCGTTCGTGTATGGTACGATAAAGTAGGAGATATTCGGCCGATTATCGGTTGGCTAAAAATAATCGGCGTCTATGTAGCGTCGATTACAGGAGCGGAAAGTGAGATCGCGATCGAACCGCGCCTGTGGCGTCGCCTTAGGCGCTCCCGGCCGGGATTTCTCTGCAGCGCGTACGATGGCTAAACAACTAAACAACGGCAGCCCGTAATTTGGTTCAAGGCTGCTCGTCGGCCGGCCGGCTAACTCTGCGGAACTAATCTCGTGTTGCGAGGCGGCATTACCACCGGTACAGTGAGAGAACGGGCGGGGAGCAGCGTGTCTCGTTCGGTTACGATGTAATCGGGTCGAGGGACACGGGGGGGATCTTCCTGATTTTATCCATTCATTCACCGAGAACTGCATTTCCGTACCCCGCGTCTCTATCTCTCTTGCACTTGCCGCGTCCTCGTTCGTCCTCCTCGTTTATTTACAATAGCCGGGGCCTTTGGAGATAGCCACTACTATACTCGATTACTCACGGTACCGGAAACACGCGATTTCGACGCGAACTCGGCGCAAATAAATCTCTAGAATTCATACTTTTCACAAATTTGTTCAATTTTTATAAGAGTAATTTTTGTGGATAAATAAATCCGTCATATTTAATCAATTAACAATTAAATAGTTAATACCTATTTAATGAGAAGCTTATTTAATTTAGGCTTGATTCATTATTCTCTTTTTTTAGAGCGATAGCGATTTGTTGGCACTCTACATTATCAGGATAATTATGAAGAATAAAAAAATCATAAATTAAAACATTATTCAATTCCAGATAATTTTAATTACAAAAAAGTTACTGTTACTCCACAAATTAAAAATAAATGCAAATTTTAACGTAATTCGTACTTGTTTATTAAGTCTGTATATATATCTACTAAGATACAGCAAATATAATAGATGCGATAAGTCATTGACTGATTATTGTAAATGTAAATAATAATTATGACCATTGAAAACAAAAATCTATACGCGACGTGTAAAAGCTACGTTGACGTTACTAACGTTCATTCGTACAAATATGCAATATGGACTAGTTTTCAGTTGCATTTTGCTAATTGCACCAATAGATAAAAGTCATCAAGATAACAAAGTTAATTATGGTGGACATAAATACGCGCGCATATCTCACGTGTTCTACTTTTTAACGGAAGCTATGGCGGAACCATTATATTTATGTCGAAGAGTGACTACAAAATATTTTTAATGCAACAGGTACGAAATGTCTATTATTTGCAATCTTTTATTTGCAAATAAAACGACAGAAATTGTACGGTCTTAATAAGATGTACGATTCTTCAAGGAGTGTGGCATGCTATGCAGTTATTCGAATATGACATTGAAAAAGGATTCTACACATTTCTCGCGGCAGGCCTCTTGTTGTTAGTAATTCGCGAAATGATAGATCGGCTAATAAATCATTGAGACTGAAACGCTGCTCAAATGCTGAAAACAATAAACCCGCTGCGACGAACGTAGAACCTGCGTTGTAGAGCGCTTCGTTGTTTAGATAGTCGCCTTGGGAGCGTGCTCTTAAGATTGCACTTCGGCGACAAAACCACACACATCATCGCTACGGTATACCGCACATTCATATCTGTCCACGCAGATTTATCGATCTTCGCGATCGCAAATGTGCTACGTTACGTCATCGTTCGCAACTGGAAACCTCAATTTTATCCCTTGACTTGCTCAAAATTTCGTTATTTTTTTTTCAAACAATTTCTCACGCTAGAGAATTAACAAAATGCTTGTAGATCGAACTCTGAAATAGTGTCCGCCTTTATTCTTTTTCTCCAAAGTAACCGCCCCAATACCGCTAGTCATTTACGTAATTGACGACACGCGAATGTCTAGGCAGGTGAACACGCGAGGGTGCCCCGTGAATGCATTTTTGGCATAACTCCCGCCGTTCTCTCGATAATAACTGTAACCCACCGACAACTCTAAATGCATATCTCCGAAGAGCCATTCATTTCATTTCACCTGCCTCGTAAACAACAGCTGCGCTCAAACGCTTCGGAAAATCAGGTTACGTTTGTCGTGACGGATTCGTCTTTGATCTGTTGCTTTAGATGCTGTTGCGGCGTTGTAAATTTTCAGTTAAAACTTGTATACGAAGCTGGAAATGTCGCTTATTCTGCAAGTGCAATTTTTCTCTGTCACAATAGGCGCACGGTGCGCCGTCGATAAACCTTCCTCCGATCAATCGGATCTACGATACACAATAGCTTGTGGGATAGGCCGCCCGTCCGAAATAACCATCGACCAAGGCCGCAGGAAACCTTTTCCAAACAAATGCGATTGTTTAGCCGTCGCTACTGCTACCGCAACTTCATCGCTGTGATCTATTTCCGTGATTAAAATCGCGAGATCACCATAATATTCGTTTATAACACTGTAAAGCTGCAATGCATTCAGCAAAACTAATCAAACTTAGGTTTTAAACTGTCGAGAAGCTCTGGAATCATTTTATTTCGAAACACGCATTATTATTAATTTTTTCAAGTACCTATATATATTTTCTGTATATAAATAGAGAAGCAAGAATGGAACAATTATTATAGTTTTGGACTTCATAAAATCATTATTTGCAAAGAAATAAATTGTAAAAGAACTGATGGAAGTTTTAACACAAAAAAATTATGAAATTATATGCTATTCGATAATTTAATTACTTTTATCGGTTGCGTGAAGGGAAACATCAGAGAGAGAATATAAATTCAATCGGAGCAACGTGAAATAATCATGATGGACGTTGAACGAGCAGAATATCAAACTTTGAAACAGTATTTTCTTGCGGTTAACTATACCTGGAAGGGAAAATCAAGAGGCAGCACAACGCGGAACGCGATGGACGGGAAGAACTTGACTTACGATCTGTAAATCTCGTGCCGTTGTCAGTACTCCGATGATTTGTGCGTGCGGTAAGCCACCATCGTCCCTTCTGACGTACGGCCCGTAACCGGCATTAACTTAGATTCTATTAGAGACGCGAAGGTACCTTGCAATTGCAGGGTATATCCGGTACGTAGCGACGTTACGATCGTGCGATGAAAATTGCACGGATGAAAACTCAAGTCTCGTGATATCTCGTTATTGCATAACTCA